GGAACAACTGCCTACTGACCCATTGTCACAAATCGATTACGGACACAATAGACAGTAAAGATTGCAAAGAGGTTAGCTTACGTGGCAGATGTTCGAAAGGGAGGGGGAAGGGAATTAGGGCGCGAGACCGCGCGCCCAAATTCCCCATTCCCCTTCCCCTTTTAACGCCTGCCACGCAGGCTACAAAGAGGTTGGATCCTCCGTTAGACTACGAGGAGTCTCTCTTTTTTCTATCCGTCGAGCAAAACTCGCATTTTTGCCACTTCTTTCTTGGGTAACCTGTGACTCTGTCCTTCTTTGGGATTACACGTGACTTGTTCTGCACGTTGGAATTTCCCGCGAGGTTTTAAAAACATGGCGGACCATGCGGTCGAGGAGAATTCAGCTGTGTTACCGAGCGCAACAGTTCTTTTCGAAGCTCAGTCGCCCTGCACTCAGTATAACAACGACGAAAATAGTCCTCTAAGTCCCGGAGAAATTCGAATGATGAGAAATCACCCTAAGGTTGCGTCTGTGCTCTTCTCTCCCGCGCGGAAAACGCGAGGGGAAGGAAAAATTAAACCAAAGTCTTTCTCTTCGGCTTTGTATTCTTCACCCACAAGGAAAACGGTATGTTCGTTGAATCCAGTTCGTTACGTTTTACTCTCTTTTTGTTTAGGAAGCTTTGGATGGTTGTTCTCTTGCTTCCTGCTGAATTAAGCTAAGTTTTTTTTCAATTTGTGGCAGAAACTACAAGGACTCGAAAAGGAGAAGCGAAAAACACTTCAAGTTCTTCAACCGACGGCTAGCGGCGATGGTACACTTGTGGGAAGTCGTGGAGTGATACGACACAAGGAAACGGTGAGGGTCAGTTTTATGCTTGGGAGCTTCAGAAACGGTTGTACTTTCAAGGTCGAAGTTGGAAAACCTCAATGCCAGTTTGAAACTTCAGAATACCCCGCCATAATAATCGGAGAAACGCTGTAACATATTAAAAGCACAAGGCGTAACACAATAGGCACTCGATCCTTTTGTTCAACGAGATGCAAATAAGTGGCGGGATAGTGTCTAAATTTTCGGGGAGTAGTAAATTTTAAATTTTAATGACCCGGACAAGTTCACTTTCCGGCCATGAAAGTGGATGATACAGAAGAAGAGCAAATGATTTTTTTATTTTTTAACCCAGGACCTCTACAATACTACTGTAGTCGCAAGAGATAAAGTTGCTTGTTCTGCTTTGGACCACTTCGTGGGTTGTCAACTTGTTATTTTTCCTTTCAATATCCCTTCTAGTCTGCCTTGTCCCAGTCAAGGGATAAATGAATGGTTGTTGGGTTATCAACTTGTTATTTTTTCTTTCAATATCCCTTCTAGTCTGCCTTGTCCCAGTCAAGGGATAAATATAGAACAATAATATCCATTTACAGAATGGATGTGAAACAAAGCCAACACATTCTACTCCTTTGTATCATAGTTAATGGAGGTGACTGGTTATGAAGCCCGGCAAACATCAAAGGAGCAAACAAAGATGCCAAGATTTATGTTAGAAGGTCCACGACCCTGCACAATCTTTTGTTTTGCGTTCATACGTTATGCATGAATTACGTAACCAGCACGTTTCTATTGGTTAGTTCCTCAGTACGGAGTAAACAACTATTGTGTTTTGTGCAGGGTCAAGGCCAAAAAAGAGAACAAAAACATACAACAAAGAACTTTGTCGGGTTTCATAACCATTCCCTCTATTAACTATGTTTGTATTAAACCCAAGTGTTGGTCCAGCCAGACCTGACCCCTCAAAGTCTGGTACTCTACTGATTGAGCTAACCAGTTGGCATGAACTGCCAACCAAATGTCTTGGTAGTACAATGTATTAACCTGGGGGGGGGGGGAGTCCGCATATAACTGGGGTGGGAATGCTCATCGGAAATTTTGAATTAAACCCCTAAAGGAGACCGATCTGGGCGTGGCCCAAGCTTTTTTTGACCCCTAAAAGAGACCATGTTAAAACACTGAGAATATATATATTTTTATATTTTTTCACGTGCAGCTCACAGCTAAATATGATGGCGTTTAGCCCAGAACACCCCAGTGAGACCAAAATCTGAAATTTACACCCCTAAGCGAGACGACGAGCATCCCCACCCCTTTCATATGCAGAGTTCCTCCCCCCTCCCCCAGGGTATTAAACTGCTATTAGGCTTGTTGATTACCAGCTGCAGTATATGATTGGGAAAATGAGCCCTCACTCATTCCCCAGAAGAGTGCAGGGCAGGGCTGGATGCATCTAATTTCTATCGTTGTTTTTAGCCATTCAGGTTGGACTCTAGAGAATGGCTGAAATCGAGCCTAAACTGCAATATGGCAAATTGTAGTCAATTAACCATAATTTTGCTTTTCCCTTACCTTTCCCATGCCAACTTTAAAGAAATCAAAGAAGAACAAGACTCCTGTGTTGCAACTCAAGCAACAGAAGCTCAAGATTCCAGCATCAGGTAGCAGCACTTCAACATGCACAGATTCATCTGATTCAGACATTGCAGGGAGTTCAGTAAAGAAGGTACAATCAAACAAAACTGAAATTCAGCAAGATGCACATGCACACCACCAGGCTTTTTGACATATTCTTGTCTGAACGCTATGCTATACCAATGAGTGTTAGCAGGGACAAAACAGCTGTCTGTGCATGGTTTTTGATGATTGTATTGTTGTGTGCCTGTGTTTTGTACTGGCCATACTGCAGAGTTGTCGTAGCATGCTTTTTTGTAGAATTTTGTTTTGCACTGGTATATTGAGACACTTCAATCAATGAACAACTCTTTCAGCATTTTCGTTGACGACAAAATAAAATTTTTAATGACAAAATGGCTGATCATGAGAGAGTTTGATTTTAGGGTTTTGTTTTGCACTGTGGACAAATAGTGTGCTCAGAACATCCCCCCACCTTAATCAATCAGAATTTTTGTTGTGATATGCTACAGATCCTTCTTCTGAACAGCAATTGAACATTGAAGTAGGAAAAGGGACAAAAGAAATGTTTCAAGCTTAATTTGAAAAATTTAATGTTGATATTATCTTGCTTTTTTTTACCTTTTATTGTCTTAACAGTTTTGTCAATTTTTTGCCATCAACTTGAAAAACTGATTTTGCATGAAGAGAATCATCTCAAATTTTGAATGAAAAAATCAAGAATTAATAATATTTGCGTATAACCAGCCTTGAGTTGACACATTTTTGTTTGTAGGACACAAAAAAGTTACAAGGCGATGTGAATGAAGAGGCAATATCCTTGATGGTTTCAGGTAGTTAAATTTTTTAAAATTAACTGTTTTGACCACCTCTAGTTAAGCTGGGATAATTTCACATGGTCTTTGTTTTTGAAAAAAGATTTTGTCAATGATTGAGAATTGCCAGCTCTTTGCCTTTTTATCAGGCACCAGATCCAGTTTTTGCAAAGCTGCAGTAGGCACAACAATTCAGGGAATACAGTGGTCATGTTCCTATACTCTCTCCAAGTGCACTTATTTAGTCACCCGAGTAGCCTCTATAGATGCTCACACCACCCTTCAACCCTTGGTTTGTTGTAGAAAAAAGTGAAAATCGACGAAGTTTACCCATTTAACTGTGCTCCCATGTTGTGTATATAGTCATGTACCCTGAACCATTTTTAACTGTGTACACGTATATGCAGATCCAGCGCCTGAGAGATACTGGGAGCTGCTTGCAGAGGAAAGAAGGCTGGCTTTGCAAGAAGCACTGGAGGAAAATGAGAGGGTTAGTTTTTTTCCTTGTACTTTGATGCTTTTACTTCATAAACAAAAAGTCATTGGTCATTGTTGCATGAATTTAAAAGACTTGAGTTGTGTTTGTTTTGATCAGCTTTACAAAGAGATGGAAGAGCTTAAAGAACAAAATAAAACCTTGCAAGAAGTAGCTGGCCAGGCAGAATATTTTGCTTCCCTCTACCAGGTACATGCAGTAATGATGCAAAAGTCAGTTTTAACTGATTAAACATACCTTAAATGAAAATCCCTAGGATCAATATTGAAGATCCAGTAATACTCACGTTTTGGTTTTTATATTACCTTATTGTTTTTTGTTGTGTTTTAAACTTCCAGTAGCTCTTTCACCCTGTGAGTAGAGCCTCCTTTTGTCTCCTTGAGTGAGGAGGATTAAAGGAGGCTCTGCCTGAATAAGATCAAGCCTTTGAGGTTAACACAGCCCAAACTTCTGGACTGGTCAGTCTTGTTCTATCTCATTAGACTGGGGTTTTTTAGTGGGAGCATCCATTTATTGATGAACCGCTGGAGCAAGCACAAGGCTATTACACCTGGGTTCAAAACTATTAGTATATCAGTAACAACATGCTGTGCATGCTCAACAAAGATCTTACTTGATTCATGCAGTCTTTTTTCGAGTATCCAAATTGAGCAAGCGAAAAAAAGGCTCTGCTGACAGGGTGTAGCTCTTTTTGTCAGCTAAATATCTAACCTGAGATCAGGCTTAATTTTGGCAGTTCTCATACATTCTCTCTAACAGCTACCACTATGTTTTCATTTTGCCTTGCCCGCCGGAATGTTGTTACCAAGCAAAACGAAAAAAGAGCCTGATCTCAGGTTATTAAATATCCTAATCTTGGTCATTAGAAACCCTTCAAATAAGTTGATGCCTTGTGGAGGGATGTACGCTCACTATAGGATTATGCCTAAGCGTGGGATCTTAAAAAAAATGCATTTTAATAAGTAATATTATTGTATTAAACTGTTACAGCTGACATTTTGGCATCACTACCGGGTTTGTAATGGCAGTGTAAAACATTCTTTGTCTGTTTTCTCAGCCTAAGTTGACTGTACTGTTTCTTCATTTTTTAGATGGTCATGGAGGGTGAAGTTCCTGACACAGAATCTAGTGAGGCAACTGATGATGAAGGTGTAACGGCTGCCAGGTAAATGTAGGCACAGAAAATAACATTAATATGTTCAAACTGTTCCTTCATTCTTCTATCATCAATGCAGGTTTTACTCAAAATTATAAAGAGCTGTGAGGCACATGGAAATGACATTAAAAATAATAAATCCAATGCAATGTGCGAAAATAAGTTGTCTTGGTTTCCTAACTCTTTTATTTGTTGAGAAACAAACTAAAATTGTCAGACAAAGGAATCAAACTCCATTTCTCGTGACACCATTAAGTTTTGCTCGTCTTCATGGAAGATTATGACCATTAATCATATTGATACCAGTCCCAATTTCCAATGTTGCTTTAAAATCCCAGGCTGGAATACTACAAACGGTCCATTTAAATGTCAGCTGTCCTTGGGTGTTAAGACATCATTTTACACTGTCTCGTACCTGAACAAATGATATTTATGTTTAATTCTTTTTAAATGCATTTTTACCGGTAACTCAATCTGTTGAAATCGAGTTTAATCTTAGATATCGATTTTAATTAGATTCCGGTTAAGGGAAAGAATTTTTCAACCAAGCATCTGAATGTTCTCCCTCTTTTTTCTTTTTGCTTACTTGTCTTATTGCAGCATTAACCTTGACCAACCATCAAATAAGTAACTTAGAGACCACATCAAGTCTTTTAAGATGAAGAATCAAACCTTACGATCAGATGTTGTAGTGACCCCTTTCTTTGTTGATGGCTATTGTTGTAAGTTGTAAACATTCTTTTTATTTTATAATTATTATATTATTTTACACTTTTCCGGTAACAAGTGTGTATAGCTGGATTTACACGTATACTGCCTCATCCTTGTTTTTTGTTAATTTTTATTGCTATATAGACCTTCTCATATTCCGTATCAGTGTCTGTATGCGAGCTCAATGAATAAAGGCTCAGCCTTAAGTTGATATTTTCATACAAATCATTGTATTTAGTCACCCCAAGTTTCAAGTTGGTGCCTTTGAGGGAAAAGTTCTTTTACACTGTGTATATTCCTAATTGAAATATGCAATTTTATATTTTATTATTATTTCAGTGATTGTCTTAAATAGAAATATCCTTTAAACTTTTGGTATAATTTTTCTCGACGAAAAAAGGAAATACAACTTGAAGCTTTTAAATTTTGCCGGTGATTTTTAGAAGGGAATCATATCCTGGATACATGACCAGTAATTGCAATTGAGTATTCCTTTACTTGTTTTTAGGCACACGTGCATGTGGTGTCTCTTGATAAAAATATAGTATTGACAGTCTTTTCCCTGAGAAAACAAGTCTTTTTTAGTTTTTCAAGAACATATCTGCGAGAATGAATGAAAAGTAGCCATGTGCAAGTAGCCACATAACTCAAGCTTTGAATATGGCTCTATTTTAATTTAGTGCATTTATTTAGACTAACTTGTAACTGCCTGAATTTTGGTTTGTTAATAATTTCTGATGTTATTTCACAACTAAAAAACTGTAATAATTCTGTAAATAGTCCTTAAAGGTTAAAAGAACATTTATTTCATTATTATTTATTAAAAGACTGATTGATCCAAGATGCTATATATCCATTAAATTCCTTTATAGTCATAATTTATTAAACATTTTTTTACACTTTGTCATCTACATACTGGAGTGTGACTATATACATTATACTTTACAAAAGTGAAAGTTTAGTTCATGCAGGAGGGGTAGTTGTTCACAAAATCTCCTATTTTCCTGGCTGTGACACACTAAAAACCCCAATAAAATCCACCTGATTTGAACTGCATTTTTTACCTACCTTTAATGCAAAAAGACACATAAAAACCAAATTTTGTTCTGGTGTTTATATGATAGAAGTTGATTGTATGGCAGCAAAGTAATTATTGGAAGGGGAAGCTGTTTTCAATAATTCATTAAAAAAACATTAATATTTTATTAGTTACATAACAGTTCCTATTTCAGTTAACCTCAAAATGTTCTTAGGATTTGTTTCGATGGAAATTTGAAAATTTTTCACATTAAGCATTTTACGTTAACTTGTGTGCAATAATAATCATTAGTGTTAAAAGAAGGTTGTATGATTCCAGGTCTACATGGCCTGTAAATAATCCATTTAGTACCAAGAACCAACATTTTAAATAGCTGTACCAGAAATAAGGAACAAAATACAACAAATCTAATCCATTGATCAGGTTTATGCACTAAAGAAAGACCAAGACATTTCCACAAGTAAAATATTAGTATTTTGATTTATTTACAGTGTACATAATAAAAAGTATATTCATTTTCTAACATTTGAATTATTTTCGTACATTAAACTTAACTACCGAAGTTTTCAAAAGAGTTATTTTAAATTATGTGACCCTTGGAAGGGTAACGCTACCTTGCTGCTAATTTCAAATAAATCGCCCCTATGTTGATATTTTGCATGACTGCATCTCTGTTTCAAAACAAATCAATCCCCTGGCCAGTATGGTTTTCATCACTTTTGTACAAAATAAATTTAAGGCTGCGAGCAGCATACCATGCCGTCAAGATTGTTAATAATTATATTAGCAATATCAAGCACCTGGCTTGAACTTTGGACAATAATAAGATACTTTTGTTACTACTTTTTAATGAAATTATAATATTTCTAAAATTCCTTCATGGCTTAAGTTGAAGAGATGCATAGTACAAGCTTTCACTGCTCTAACTCTAGCTTCACTTGCATTTTTGCTCTTCTTCACGTAGTGTTATAACTTTGTAATTGAGGCTGTTACAGAAGAACATCAGTAACAAAGATTGCAATGTGAAATATTACCCCTGTTTAAGTGTCGACCACATTATTTCCAAGAATGTGAAATTATGCGGTCTAGTAGATTTTAGTCAACAAACTGACTTGCAAGTTAGTATTTCACTGAAAATACTAGTTATGGCACTAAGTCAGTGGTTTGAGAGTCATTCTTCTCCTTAACTCCAACCACAAAAGTGACCTCTCTTTTTCTGTTCTTTGGATAACATCTCTGTTCTCAGAGGCTCGTCGAGCAAGGTAAGCCAGAGCTTCCCCAACTGGGCCATAGGGAACAGACTTGTAAACACTGAAACCTTTTTGTCCTAGAAGAAAAACAAACACACCAAAAGTTGAAACAACCACACATAAAACTTGGAATACTCTGTGACAAAAATAACAAAAAACCTCTATACTTATTAAAAGCTAGTAGAGGAGTTAAAAGATTCCTCTGTTTGCATCAGAAGTGAAAAGGATTCAAAACTGTATACTGGTATACCTCTGCTATTTGTACTATTCACTATGGTGCAGAAAAATACTAAGTATTTTTTTCAACAAGTCTTGTTGAAATAGTGCAGAATTTCCAGAGTATCACTAAAGGTCACTAACTTTTATAGATTAGATATATCCCAATTACATTCCCAAGAACACTAGAATATTCAGAGGCCCTGAGGCCCTTGTTTTTTTTATTCAGACATTGACATTTTTTGACAACAGTATTTAATATGAAATTCTCAATGATTAAACATGTACAGTTAGATCCAATTTGCAAATGTTCAAAATCAGACCATTGCTCAGCCGTTGCTGTCAAGAGCTTGCCCATCAGACCTCTTACTTTGCATAAATAAAATGAGGATTGCTCCTACCCGGTAGACTGCAAGCAAGCTTTCTATAACTGGAGGCTGGGTGGGGTGGAAGAAAAACAGAGGGATAGCTTGCATGCACGTCTTGAGAATTTATCTCATCCTTAACTTCTCACCCCCACCCAATCCTGGATGTTAAAACTTGACAGAGCTACTGTTAACTCCTACCTAGCAGATAAGAGACCTGGTCACACATTCCATACAGCTGCCCAAATGCAACCTTGCCATTGCTGGTGATATCAAGCTCTTTCATTCTGTTACATAACAAGGAAACAATATTAAACAATTCTACTTTAACAAGACAGCCCTTAACACCAGGACCCGGTTGTTGAAATGTTGGATAGCTCCATCCACTGGGTATTAAATCACTAACAGCAGTTAAATGTTAGGGAAACCAATAAATTGCATTATCCACTCAAATGGAGATTTATCCAGTGCAGTGATTTTGTTAGGGGCTGTTTACACGGAGGTGGGCAACCCCAGATAAGGTGAGATAACATGTGGCGGGTCACCCCACCTATCATTTAAACATGATCAAATTAATATGAGAGATTATACAGACAGGGGGGTTACCTCAACTACCTGGGGTCCCCCACCTCCACATAACCAGGCCCTTAGTCCTCTGCATCCTGCGTCCCAGACACATAAAAATCCCTTAAGATGCAATATAAATTCATGGCATGCATCCTGTAGGATGCAAAGAACAATCAATTGATTTGAAGATTTCCCGGTAGAATATCCTGTTCGTGTGATTTCTGTGGCTGTTGTTTAAAGATGCATATTTATTTTAGTATTTTTTGTGCTTTAAATATATAGCAAGACTTAAGCAATAGAAAACGTTTTCCGTGTTTACATAGCCTGATATAAACACGAGAGGGGTTGGGAGAATTCGAGACAGTTATGCAAACCCGAGACGAAGTCGAGGGTTTGCATAACTAGGGGGAAGGGAATTAGGGCGCGAGACCGCGCGCCCAAATTCCCCATTCCCCTTCCCCTTTTAACGCCTGCCACGCAGGCTACAAAGAGGTTGGATCCTCCGTTAGACTACGAGGAGTCTCTCTTTTTTCTGTCCGTCGAGCAAAACTCGCATTTTTGCCACTTCTTTCTTGGGTAACCTGTGACTCTGTCCTTTTTTGGTATTACACGTGACTTGTTCTGCACGTTGGAATTTCCCGCGAGGTTTTAAAAACATGGCGGACCATGCGGTCGAGGAGAATTCAGCTGTGTTACCGAGCGCAACAGTTCTCTTTGAAGCTCAGTCGCCCTGCACTCAGTATAACAACGACGAAAATAGTCCTCTAAGTCCCGGAGAAATTCGAATGATGAGAAATCACCCTAAAGTTGCGTCTATGCTCTTTTCTCCCGCGCGGAAAACGCGAGGGGAAGGAAAAATTAAACCAAAATCTTTTTCTTCGGCTTTGTATTCTTCACCCACGAGGAAAACGGTATGTTCGTTGAATCCTGTTCGTTACGTTTAACTCTCTTTTTGTTTAGGAGGCGTTGGATGGTTGTTCTCATGCTTCCTGCTGAATTAAACTAAGTTTTTTTTCACTTTGTGGCAGAAACTACAAGGACTCGAAAACGAGAAGCGAAAAACACTTCAAGTTCTTCAACCGACGGCTAGCGGGGATGGTACACTTGTGGGAAGTCGTGGTGTGATAAGACATAAGGAAACGGTGAGGGTCGGTTTTATGCTTGGAAGCTTCCGAAACGGTTGTACTTTCAAGGTCGAAGGTTGAAAACCTCAATGCCAGTTTCAGAATACCCTGCCATAATAATCGGAGAAACGAACAAGGCGTAACCCCGGGGGGGGGGCACTTGGGTATTTTTTGGGTGGGTATGTGCCGCCAGGGACTCCGAATATGCACCCCGTTCTAAAAAAAATTTCCCCTAAAATTGATACCCCGTTCTAGAAATGGCCCAATTTTTCATACCTCATTCTAGAATTCGCCCTAAAACGGATACCCCGTTCTAGAAATGGGCCAATTTTTTATACTCCGTTCTAGGGTGCAATAAGAGTATAACAGTTTGCTTGTTAACGCATTGAACCGTATTTTTAAAAGCAATCTGTCCTTGAATAATTTCAAATGGCTGCTTACAAAACTGGAGCTTTCATGCGTTCGAAATATTATACCCCGTTCTAGAAAACATCTCTGAAATGGGTACTCGTTCTAAACCAGGAGCTTCAAAATCAAGACCCCGTTGGGCGGCACATACCCGTATAGGTAATGTATGGGAGTACCCCCCCCCCCCGGGGGTGTAACATAAGAGGCACTTCTGTTGTTCAAAGAGATACAAATAGGTGGCGGGGTTTTCGGTGCCCCGTAGTGAATTTTAAATTTTAATGACCCGGACAAGTCCATTTTCCGGCCATGAAAGTGGAAGATACAGAAGAAGAGCAAATAACTTTTTATTTTTTTTACCGAGGACCTCTACAATACTACTGTAGTCGCAAGAGATAAAGTTGCCTGTTCTGCTTTGGACCACTTCGTGGGTTATCAACTTGTTATTTTTCCTTTCAATATCCCTTCTAGTCTGCCTTGTCCCAGTCAAGGGATAAATATGGAACAATAATATCCATTTACAGAATGGATGTGAAACAAAGCCAACACATTCTACTCCTTTATACTAAGCCCAAGTGTTGGTCCAGCCGGACCTGACCCCTCAAAGTCTGGTACTCTACTGATTGAGCTAACTAGTTGGCATGAACTGCCAACCAAATGCCTAGGTAGTACAGCGTATTAACCGGGGGGGGGGAGACCAAATATGAAAGGGGTGGGGATGTTCGTTGGAAATTTTGAATTAAACCCCCAAAAGGAGACCCATCTGGGCGTGGCTCAAGCTTTTTTTGACCCCTAAAAGAGACCATGTTAAAACACTGAGAATATTGTTAATTATATATTTTTGTATTTTTTCGCATGCAACCCTAAACGAGACCTTCACAGCTAAATATGATGGCGTCCCCCAGGGTATTAAACTGCTATTAGGCTTGTTGATTACCAGCCGTCGTATATGATTGGAAAATGAGCCCTTACTCATTCCCCCAGAAGAGTGCAGGGCAGGGCTGGATGCATCTAATTTCTATTTTTGTATTTAGCCATTCAGGTTGGACTCTAGAGAATGGCTGAAATCGAGCCTAAACTGCAATATGGCAAATTGTAGTCAATTAACCATAATTTTGCTTTTTCCCTTACCTTTCCCATGCCTATTTGAAAGAAATCAAAGAAGAACAAGACTCCTGTGTTGCAACTCAAGCAACAGAAGCTCAAGATTCCAGCATCAGGCAGCAGCACCTCAACATGCACAGATTCATCTGATTCAGACACAGCAGGGAGTTCAGTAAAGAAGGTACAATCAAACAAAACTGAAATTCAGCGAGATGCACATGCACACTACTAGGCTTTTTGACATATTCTTGTCTGAACCCTATGCTATACCAATGAGTGCTAGCAGGGACAAAACAGCTGTCTGTGCATGGTTTTTGATGATTGTATTGTTGTGTGCCTGTGTTTTGTACTGGCCATACTGCAGAATTGTCGTAGCATGCTTTTTTGTAGAATTTTGTTTTGCGCTGGTATATTGAGACACTTCAATCAATGAACAACTCTTTCAGCATTTTCATTGATGACAAAATAAAATTTTAGTGACAAAATGGCTGATCATGATCATGAGACAGTTTGATTTTAGGGTTTTGTTTTGCACTGGGGACAAATAGTGAGCTCAGAACATCCCCCCACCTTAATCAATCAGAATTTTTGTTGTGATATGCTACAGATCCTTCTTCTGAACAGCAATTGAACATTGAAGAAGGAAAAGGGACAAAAGAGATGGTTCAAGCTAATTTGAAAAATATAATGTTGATAATATCTAAATTTTTTTTACCTTTCATTGTCTTAACAGTTTTGTCAATTTTTTGCCATCAAGTTGAAAAACTGATTTGCATGAAGAGAATCATCTCAAATTTTGAATGAAAAAATCAAGAATTAATAATATTTACGTATAACCAGCCTTGAGTTGACACATTGTTATTTGTAGGACACAAAAAAGTTACAAAGCGATGTGAATGAAGAGGCAATATCCTTGATGGTTTCAGGTAGTTAAATTTTTTAAAATTAACTGTTTTGACCACCTCTAGTTTAACCTGGGACACTTTCACATGGTCTTTGTTTTTGAAAAAAGATTTTGTTGTCAATGATTGAGAATTGCCAGCTCTATGCCTTTTTATCAGGCACCAGATCCTGTTTTTGCAAAGCTGCAGTAGGCACAACAATTCAGGGAATACAGTGGTCATGTTCCAATACTCTCTCCAAGTGCACTTATTTAGTCACCTGAGTAGCCTCTATAGATGCTCACACCACCCTTCAACCCTTGGTTTGTTGTAGAAAAAAGTGAAAATCGACAAAGTTTACCCATTTAACTGTGCTCCCATGTTGTGCATATAGTCATGTACTCTGAACCATTTTTAACTGTGTACACGTTTATGCAGATCCAGCACCTGAGAGATACTGGGAGCTGCTTGCAGAGGAAAGAAGGCTGGCTTTGCAAGAAGCGCTGGAAGAAAATGAGAGGGTTAGTTTTTTTCCCTTGTACTGTGATGCTTTTACTTTATGAACAAAAAGTCATTGGTCATTGTTGCATGAATTTAAAAGACTTGAGTTGTGTTTGTTTTGATCAGCTTTACAAAGAGATGGAAGAGCTTAAAGAACAAAACAAAACCTTGCAAGAAATAGCTGGCCAGGCAGAATATTTTGCTTCCCTCTACCAGGTACATGCAGTAATGATGCAAAAGTCAGTTTTAACTGATTAAACATACCTTAAATGAAAAAAACAAAGATCTTACTTGATTCATTTAGTCTTTTTTCGAGTATCCAAATTGGGCGAGCGAAAAAAAGGCTCTGCTTACAGGGTGTAGCTCTTTTTGTCAGCTAAATATCTAACCTGAGATCAGGTTTAATTTTAGCAGTTCTCACACATTCACTCTAACAGCTACCACTATGTTTTCGTTTTGCCTCACCCGCCGGAATGATGTTACAAAGCGAAACGAAAATTGAGCCTGATCTCAGGTTACTAAATATCCTAATCTTGGTCATTAGAAACTCTTCAAATAAGCTGATACCTTGTGGAGGGATGTACGCTCACTATAGGATTATGCTTAAGAGTGGGATCTTAAAAAAAAAAAGCATTTTAATAAGTAAGATTGTTATATATAACTATTACAGCTGACATTTTGGCATCACTACCGGGTTTGTAATGGCGGTGTAAAACATTCTTTGTCTGTTTTCTCAGCCTAAGTTGACTGTACTGTTTCTTCATTTTTTAGATGGTCATGGAGGGTGAAGTTCCTGACACAGAATCTAGTGAGGCAACTGATGATGAAGGTGTAGCAACTGCCAGGTAAATGTAGGCACAGGAAATAACATTAATATGTTCAAACTGTTCCTTTATTCTTCTATCATCAATGAGCTTTTACTCAAAATTAGAAAGAGCTGTAAGGTACATGGAAATAACATTGAAAATAAATCCAATGCGCGCAATTAATTTGCAAAAATAAGTTGTCTTGGTGGGTTCAAGTTTCTTAACTCTTTCATTTGTTGAGATACAACTAAGATTGTCAGACTAAAGAATCAAACTCCATTACTCATGACACCATTAACTTTTGCTTGTCTTCGTGGAAGATTATGACCATTAATCATATTAATACCAGTCCCAATTTCCAATGTTGCTGTAAAATCCCTGGAATACTACAAATGGTCCATTTGAATATCAGCTGTCCTTGGGTGTTAAGACATCGTTTTACACTGTCTTGTACCTGAACAAATAATATTTATGTTTAATTCTTTTTAAATGCATTTTTACTGGTAACTCGTAATCTGTTGAAATTGACAACCCTCCAAGTTGCGACCATTTTAGTTACCGTGGCGCCTAAATTTTTGAAGCTGGCGACTTGATTTGTAAAAAAAAAGTCTGCCTAAACCAAAAGAATTGGTCACCAAATGGTGACCACGCAAAAACTTTAACTTGGAGGGTTGATTGAGTTTAATCTTAGATATTGATTTTAATGCTTACTTGTCTTATTGCAGCATTAACCTTGACCAACCATCAAAATTTAATAAGTAGCTGAGAGTCCATGTCAAGTCCTTTTAGATGAAGAATCAAACCTTATGATCAGATGTTGTAGTGAACCCTTTCTTTGTTGATGGCTATTGTTGTAAGTTGTAAACATTCTTTTCATTTTATTATTTTACACTTTTCCAGTAACAAGTGTGTACAGCTGGATTTACACGTACTCTGTCTCAACCTTGTTTTTTGTTAATTTTTATTGCTATATAGACCTTCCCATATTTCGTAACAGTGTCTATAAGCAAGCACAATGAATAAAGGCTCAGCCTTCAGTTGATATTTTCATACAAATCATTGTATTAAGTCACCCAAAGTTTCAAGTTGGTGCCTTTGAGAGAAAAGGTCTTTTACATTGTGTATATTCCTAATTGAAATATGCAATATTATATTTTATCATTATTATTTCAGTGATTGTCTTAAATAGAAATTTCCTTTAAACTTTTGGTTTATTTTTCTCGATGAAAAAAGAAAATACAACTCGAAGCTTTTAAATTTTGCCAGAGATTTTTGGAAGTTAATCATGTCCTGGATACATGACCAGTATTTATCGAGCATTCCTTTAACTGTTTTTAGGGACACATGCATGTGGTGTCTCTTAATAAAAATATAGCATTGACAGTCTTTTCCCTGAGAAAACAAGTCTTTTTTTAGTTTTTCAAGAAAATATCTGCCTGAATGAATGAAAAGTAGCCATGTGCAAGTGGCCAGCTAACTCAAGCTTTGAATATGGCTGTATTTTATTTTAGTGCATTAATTTAGACTAACTTGTAACTGCCTGAATTTTGGTTTGTTAATAATTTCTGATGTTATTTCACAACTAAAAAGCTGTAATAATTCTGTAAATAGTCCATAAAGGTTAAAAAACATTTATTTCAATATTATTTATTAAAAGACTGATTGATCCAAGATACTCTACACCCATCAAGTTCCTTTATAGTCATAATTTATTAAACATTTTTTTACACGTTGTCATCTACACGCTGGAGTATGACTACATACATTATACATTACATAAGTGAAAGTTTAGTTCATGCAGGAGGGGTAGTTGTTCACAAAATCTCCTATTTTCCTGGCTGTGACAAACTAAAAACCCCAATAAACTCCACCTAATTTGAACTGCATTTTTGTTCTACTAATGCAAAAAGACACTTAGAAACCAAATTTTATGCTCTGCTGTTTATATGGTAGGAGTTGATTGTATGGCAGTAATGTAAATATTGGAAGGGGAAACTGTTTTCAATAATTCATTAAAAAACATTAATATTTATTTTTATCAGTTACATAACAGTTCCTATTTCAATTAACCTCAAAATCTACTTAGGATTTGTTCCACATGATGGAAGTTTGCAAATTTTTCACATTCAGCATTTTAAGTTAACTTGTTTAACACTAATGATTACTATCGCACTCTAGGTTGTACCATTCCAGGTCTAAGTGGCTTGTAAATAATCAATTTAGTACCAAGAAACCAACATTTTAAACTGCTGTACCAGGAATAAGGAACAAAATACAACAAATCTAATCCATTGATCAGGTTTATGCACCAAAGGAAGACCAAGACATTTCCACAACTAAAATATTAGTATTTTGATTTACTTACAGTGTACATAATAAAAAGTATATACATTTTCTAACATTTGAATTATTTTCATACATTAAACTTAACTACAGTAGTTTTCAAAAGAGTTATTTTAAATTCTGTGACCCTTGGTAGGGTAACACTACCCTTCTGCTAATTTCAAATAAATCTGTCCTATGTTGATATTTTGCATGATTGCATGTCTGTTTCCAAAAAATCAATCCCCTGGCCAGTATGGTTTTCAACACTTTTGTACAAAATCAATTCAAGGCTGTGAGCAGCATACCTTGCATGAAAAATTGTTAATATAATAGCAACAAGCACCTGGCTTGAACTTTGGACAATAATAAGATACTATTGTTACAACTTTTTAATGAAATATTATAATTTCTAAAATTCCTTCATGGCTTAAAGTGAAGAGATGCAAAGTACAAGCTTTCACTTCTCTAACTCTAGCTTCACTTGCATTTTTGCTCCTCTTCACGTAGCATTATAGCTTTGTAATTGAGGCTGTTACAGAGGAACATCAGTAACAAAAATTGCAATGTGAAATATTACCCCTGTTTAAGTGTAAACCACATTATTTCCAAGAATGTGAATAATGTGGTCTAGTAGATTTTAGTCAACAAACTGACTTGCAAGTTAGTATTTCACTGAAAATACTAGTTATGGCACTAAGTCAGTGGTTTAAGAGTCATTCTTCTCCTTAACTCCAACCACAAAAGTGACCTCTCTTTTTCTGTTCTTTGGATAACATCTCTGTTCTCAGTGGCTCGTCGTGCAAGGTAAGCAAGAGCCTCTCCAACTGGGCCATAGGGAACAGACTTGTAAACGCTGAAACCTTTTTGTCCTAGAAGAAAAACAAACACATCAAAAGTTAAGACATCCACACATAAAACTTGGAATACTCTGTAACAACAAGAACATAAAACCTCTATACTTATTAAAAGCTCAAGTGCAGTTTAGAGGAGTTAAATGATTCCTCTGTTTGCATCAGAAGTGAAAGGGATTAAAAACTGTATACTGGTATACCTCTGCTATTTGTACTATTCACTATGGTGCAGAAAAATACTTGTTGAAATAGTGCAGAATTTCCAAAGTATCACAAAAGGTCACTAACTTTTATAGATTAGATATATGCTGATTACATTCACAAGAACACTAGAATATTCAGGGGCCCTTAGGCCCTTTTTTTTTTTATTCAGACATTGACATTTTTTAACAACAGTATTACAGATGAAATTCTAAACGATTAAACAAGTACACTTAGATCCAATTTGCAAATGTTCAAAATCAGACCATTGCTCAGCCCTTGCTGTCAAAAGCTTGCCCATCAGACCTCTTCCTTTGCATAAATAAAATGAGAGTTGCTCCTACCCGGTAGACTGCAAGCAAGCTTTCTATACTTGGAGGCTGGGCAGGGTGGAAGAAAAACAGAGGGATAGCTTGCATGCACATCTTAAAAATTTATCTCATCCTTAACTTCTCACCCCAACCCAATCCTGGACGTTAAAACGTGACAGAGCTACTGTTAACTCCTACCTAGCAGATAAGAGACCTGGTCACACATTCCATACAGCTGCCCAAATGCAACCTTGCCATTGCTGGTGATATCAAGCTCTTTCATTCTGTTGCATAAGGAAACAAAAACAGCCCTTAAATTTAAACACCAGGACCTGGTTGTTCAAATGTTGGATAGCACTATCCACTGGGTATTAAATCACTATCCAGCAGATGTAAGGGAAACCAATAAATATTATTGCATTATCCAGTCAATGGAGATTTTTCCAGTGCAGTGATTTTGTTAGGGCCCGTTTTTCATGGAGGTGGGGGGCCCCCAGACAAGGTGAGGTAACGTGTGGAAGGTCATGGACCCCACCTATCATATAAACGTGATCAACTTAATATGAGAGATTATATGGACAGGCGGGTTACCCCAACTACCTGTGGTCCCCCACCTCCATGTAAACAGGCCCTTAGTCCTCTCCATCCTGTGTCCCTGACACATAAAAATCCCCCAAGATGCAAAATAATTCATGGCATACGTCCTGTAGGATGCAAAGAACAATCAATTGATTTGAAGATTTCCTGGTAGAATATCCTGTTCATGTGATTTCTGTGGCTGTTGTTTAAAGATGCATATTTATTTTAGTCTTTTTTGTGCTTTAAATATATAGCAGGACTATATTTTAGTTTCAGTAAACTGTAATAAAGAGTTTTGGCATCTGTCTCCAAATTAACTATCTGGTTACATAAAGGCCCAAGCATTTTCAATTTAGGACTCTGTTTTTTTTTTAACTGGTACTCATGATTTTTCACAAGATGAGTCCCAGGACACACCATAACTATTTGTAACAAAATCACTGCCACCTTTCAAAAATATACTTGGCCCAGATATAAAAGTTTTTCAAGAGTAAAAATTGCCACGAATCACCAACCCAATGTTATTCATCCACACACTGCGAAGGCAGAACTAAAAATTTATTCAAATCTGGATTTCAAATCTAACAACTAGAAAATACCTTTTTTATTTATCTAATCATTTAGCTTACACTTAAAATATTTATTTATATTTGCATTGTAAATTTTAAAAATGTCCTCTTCTTGCAAATAGCTGAGCTAAACAGGGCAGAGTTAAAAGGCATACAATTAGGTCAAGAAAAAATGAAGAGCAGATTGTACATGCACCCACAGACTTT